GTTTTTTTTTTTTTACTGTATTTTGCTTGTTTTTGAAAATGTACTAGAGATAGGGTTGGATTGCTGATCATAATGTCATTTACATTCTGGGTTTTGCTAGAGCTGTTTCATCTTGTATCACATCACGTGACATGTGGCATTTTTCTTTCCACTTCACCTTCATCCCAAACCACATCCTCATTCTGCACCTGAAAGTTATTTGAGTAAATACATTTGTAAAGTAAATGCTCTTCTGAGGCATATATGTTGCTTATATTCTGTAATTTTTACCCTCAATATGTCGTTCTATGCATCAGCATAAACAAAGACATAATCATTCTGTAGAATAAGTCCCCAGACAGGCTCCTAGAAAGAAACACTGAGAACACCCACTATATTCTAGGACAGAGGGAGGGGATTCTGGAGGGAGAGTAAATGAAGAAATGCTGCAAATTCAAAATAAAAGTATTCTCCAAATTTGGGAAATGTGTACAAGGTTAATTGGCCTTAAGTTACAGGAGCTGTAAGCACTGGAAAGACACACCTGGCTCTTCCCTTTGCTCTATAAAATGTCCAGAAGGTCAGAGAAGTACCCTGCAGCCCAAAGGGTCAAATAAATATGCATTGGCCTCTGCCTGCATCTGCCTGCTTCTCAGAGACAAGACTTCATTTCCAGATCTCATGTTCATTTCTGAAGATCTACTTCTGACAATAGGCAATTGACCAAAAAGGTTTAGGGGAACAGGGATAGAGAGAAGTACCTATAAAAAGAGTCTGCAGGTCCCTTAATCCACAAGGAGAAAAGCTCTGAAATTCCTACTATATGGCCCAGAGATCCAAGTGACTGACAGATGACATGGCTCCAGACACCCCCGGGGCTGGGGGGAGGGTGGGGGCCACCTGCCAAGAGCAAGCCACCCTTCATACTCTCTGCCCCAAATTTATCTTTCCAACCACTTGTGACTCTGGCAGGATTCTAGGAAGCATCCCCAAAAGGGAGTCACCAGAACGCTGTCCTATAAATATAAAGCAAAAATGGAGGAGATGCAGGAGGCCAAGTGTGTCCACTAGAGGGAGCGCCAACCAACTCTCTGTGGCAGGGAACCTCTAGAGGTAGTTTCTCAACAGCTGTCTGCAGATCATCTATATATAGGAATAGGGGAAATGCCGACATAGATTAAGTACTGTGAGAGAAAATGGTCTTGTAAATGCCCAGCAAAAATCCAGGACTTTCAGGAGTTTCAAAATCAAAGATTTAAAGAGTCTGAGAAAATTTAAGTAGCTTGCCCAAGTTTATACATCCATTGAGGGGACTAGGACTCATGTCTCCTGTCTCTAACCACTGCCTTTTCCTTGACATTTGCATCCCTTTGGGTCAATATCCTGGAGTCCATGGATCCACCTCTCCTCCGTTCTCACTTCTCTAAAGTGGAAAACTCTCTTAACTACCTGCTTCTGCATTATTTCCCTCAGACACTGTAAAATGCCTTTCTGAAGGGGAATATTCAGTTGTAAGTTTAATGTCCTCTTGCCAGTGGGATCTTGAGATGAAAACTGCCAGGATGGCCATGTCAGTCTTCTTCTATATCAGCACAACACTATGTACATCTATAATTCCTTACTCTCCAAATTGCAGGCAGCACCCACCTGGAAGTACATCTTAGCTAATCAGCTCCAAAGCCCTTTCACTTCAAAATATATTTAAGATTTTGGGAGAAGGGGAGAAGTGACCTTCAAGGATCTTTGTATTTTTAGCTTTGTGAGCTGACAGCCCATTATACCTTCCTTTGAATTCCGTGTTTTCCAGTTGCCTGGACAACATGTAGCCTCCAGAAACCCAACCTTCTGGTTCTCTGTCCTGCCCCTGAAGGAAGTTTGCCAGCCTGGATTGGTTTCCAGGACACAGGCTCCTCCTCAGGCTCTATCTGGGCCTCTCTCTGCCCTTCCCTGTGAGTGGGTCACTCCACAAGGAGACCCCACAAAGGCAAGAAAACATCCTATAGGTAGGAAAAGGTAGGGTGAGGATGGAGGGAAAAGGGAGCAAACTGGTACAGAGATTTATTTTCCCTAACAGAGGATTGGGAGGAATGACTTTTCTATATAGAGCAGCCCTTCCTGCAGACTCCAGCCCTGCCTAGGGTTCCCAGGAAACCAAGAAGTAAAGCTTCCAACAAGTGTGAGACAGACTTGAAAACTAGAATTCTAAATCACTCAAGTCTCCTGGTTAAGTCTAGGGGTTAGGAAAGCATTCCTATGTCTAAAACTATAAAGTCCCCCCTCCCTCAGGACAGCCAGGACATGCCACCTAAGACCAAAGAAAAAGGTAGGAAATCTGGGACACAGAAGAAGAAAAAGAACTTGAGTGTTGGTAAGTCACAGTGGGTACAGGTGGGACCCCTGCTTCTACATGTCCTATCAGGGAGGCACCCTTCTTTGGGTGGTCCTCTGATCTCATGAAGGAAAGTCCAGGGGTGGGGTAAGGTGGGGGTGGGACTGAGATTATGATAAGCTAAGGCTCTGCTGACTTGCCAGGGCAGATGTGGAGGCCGAGGCCAAGCACAGGCTGATGGTGCTGGAGAAGGAGCTGCTCCTGGACCACTTGGGTGAGAAGGGTGAAGGCTCTGGGGACAGCATAAGTGGCATTTCTGGGTCCTTGGGGGATCGAAGGGATAAGCACAGGGCTAAGCCAAATTCTAACCGGCCCCTAATGGAAAAGGACTATGGGGGGGGGCGGTAGGCAGTGAGGGTTGATGAGGGATGCTTCTTCCCAAATTCCCTGGCCGGGATCAAACCCAGGGCCTCATATGTGCTAGGCAAGGGCTCTACCACTGAGCTATGCCAACCTACCAGGGAAGCTATTTTCCATGGCCAGAATAGAGAAGGAGTTTTTCCTTCGTAGTAATGAAGAGCCTGTGAGATTCTAGAGGAACAAACAGAGCAAAGGGCTGGAAGCCCTGCCACCAGTTCTTCAGGGGTGGGAAGAGCTTATCCAGCCCATGGGGACTGGTTGTGTCACAGCCAATCCTAAAGGCAGCTCTGCTGCTGTTCACAGCTCTGCGGAGGGATGAGTCCCGTAGAGCCAAGGCTTCCGAAGAGCTGCTGAAGCAAAAGTTGCAAGGGTTAGAGGCAGAACTCAAAGAGGCCCGAAGTGAAGAGAAGGCTATATATGCAGGTATGTGACGGGGTGAGCAGGTGGGCAGAAGACAGGGCCCTAAAAGAGGACAACCAAAGGGCCCCAAGGAAGCAAAGAATCCAAGGAAGATCCCTGGCATCCCAGGCATGCACCTTCCAGAATCCCTGATGCCATGTGTTGCTTTGTGGGGGTACAAAATCCAGTCATAGCCATTATCTCATTTATCCAATGAGAATAAGTGGAAAGAAAAGCTAGGTTCCTCATCCCAAACTGTATGGGAGAAGGCAGTTTGGTTTTCTGTTTTTTCTTCTTCTCCTTTTCTTTCTTTTTAAAAATCTGAACCATATCCTTAGTTCTTTCAATTTTTGAGGCAGGGTCACACTAAGTTGCCCATGCTGGTCTCTAACTTGTGATCCTCCTCCTGCCTCAGCCTCCTGAGTAGCTAGAATTACAGGCTTGCACTTCAGCATCAGGCAGGGGTCCGGTTTTCTATCCCTTCCCCAGATTTTCAGGGGTTTCCACCTTCTCAGCATCATCACAAGAAAAATTAAGAAGGTCCTTATGCTCCGGCCTCTCTGGACTAAGTAAAGTCTTCTCCATCTACAACTTTCCTTTCTCCATGTCTCCATGCCTACACGGCTTCCTGGCCACCCACTACCCCTGCTTCAGAGATGAGCCGCCAGCATCAGGCCTTGAAGGAGAAGTTGGAAACCCGCAGCAATCAGCTGGAAGAGGAAGTAAGGGGTCTTCGGGAGCAGCTAGGTAGGTTCCATCCAGGTCTTTTTCTCCAAAGGTCATTGACTAGGTCCAGATGGTTTTAGAGGGTCCTTCCTTAGAAAGCTGCAGTCTGTTGGTTGAATTTGAATTTAGATGCCTTTCTCTGGACTGTTCTCTGAGCAGAGAATTCAGGACAACAAGAAATTCTAAGATGTAAGTAAAGAAGCCCCAGTGATGGCACATGGCTGTAATCCCAGCTTCTCCAGAGGCTGAGGCAGGAGGATCACAAATACAAGGCCTCAGCAACTTAGTGAAACCCCGTCTCAAAATAAAAATAAAAAGTACTGGGGATGGAGCTCAGTGAGAAAGGGCCTCTGGGCTCAATCACTAGTACTAAACAAACAAACAATAAAAAAAACAGATGTAAGTAAAGAAAAGGTAGGTTTCAGGCTCAGGATGTAGTTCAGTGGTAAAACACTTGTCTAGCATGTGTGAGGCATTGAGTTCAATCAAAAGAAAGAGAGGGAGGGAGAAGGAAGGAGGAAGGGAGGAAAGAGAGGAAGGAAGAGAGAGAGAGGAATAAAGAAACACCAACAGAGAGAAGGTCTCATACCTGACTTCCCCCTTTGCTTAGTGTCTCCAAATTCAATGTTTATTCTTCTCCACTGCCTTGAATCTACATCTCTACTGAGCAAAACATATTCCCTAAATTAAGCTAACTTTTGTAATGAAACTAAGGAAGGGCTGAAGATGTGGCTCAAGCCATAGCGCGCTTGCCTGGCATGCATGCGGCCCTGGTTTGATCCTCAGCACCACATACAAACAAAGATGTTGTGTCCGCCGAAAACTAAAAAATAAATATTAAAAATTTAAAAAAAAAAGAAACTAAGGAAAATATTAGTCATTTACTTCTGTATCTTCAAGGCTAGCACCTGATAGGCCCTAAAAAACCACTTACTAAATAAATGAATAAGCTTTCCAAATAAGCAAAAAAAAAAAAAAAAAAACAGGAAGCCTTTGCTTTCCTTTCCTCTTGCTTACAGGACAAAGTTGAAATATCTCAGCATAGCACATGAGTTCTTTCACAATTTTAGCCTCAAAGTTTTCTTTCGTTTCTTTTTTTCCTGCACGCGTGTGTGTGTGTGTGTGTGTGTGTTGCTGGGGATGGAATCTAGGGCTCATGCATGCCAGGCAAGCACTCTACCCCTTAGCTACATCCCCACCCTCAATTTTGTTTGCTTGTTTGTTTATTTGTTTAGTTGTAGATGGACACAATATCTTTATTTATTTGGTACTGAGAATCGAATCCAGTGCCTCACATGTGCTAGGCAAGCGCTCTACCACTGAGCCACAACTCAGCCCTCAAAGTTGTTGAGGTTTTTTTTTATAATCTTAAAATATTTTCATTTTCAGTTTAGCTATAGATATCCAAGAGCTGTTTATCTGTCATGTAGTCCCTAGGTTCCTTCCCCAATATTTGCCTTATTTCAATTTCAAATTCAACCAACATTTATAGAATACCTCTTGTATACCAGGCACTTTGCCTTCCATTTCACATTTAAGGGTCACAACATACATGAGGTTTGAAAGATTAAAAAATTGAGACTCAGAAAGAGACATATTTGACAATATACAAAGAGTAAGTAATGACCAGACTTTGGACCCATCTCCTGTATCAAGCCCTCTGCACTCTATCATACCTTGATGTATCTTCAGCTCTTTACTGGGACTGTAGGAAATTTGATGAACCTGGGGGAGTCTGGAATAATCCCACTCAAGGCGACCTTTTTAGTACCTTTGGAGACTGTTCAGGGATAGAGTGCCACCATTCTGTCCTCTCATCCTTCCCTTCTGTTCCCCAGAAATGTGCCAGAAGGAGGCTAAGGCTGAAAGGGAAGAGGCTGAGCAAGCCCTCAGAGAGCGGGACCAGACCCTGACTCAGCTTAGGGCCCAGGTGGTGGACATGGAGGCCAAGTACCAGGAAATCTTACATGTAAGCACTTCCCTCCAGGGCCCAGCTGCTCTAATACCCCAGCACTCCTCCATCCCCACAGCCCACAGCTAGTGTGATGACTAATAACCCAAGGGAAAGGAGAAGTGTCCCCAAGGAACACTGCTCTATCCTCAAGTTGGACAGAGTGGATACAGCTGTGCCTACCAGCGCAGAGTAAGAAATCCTTGCAAGCAAGGAAAGCTTACAAACCAACCTGGGGCAACCCTTATCTCCATCCTCTCTTCTTGGGAGCTGAAAGCCTGGTGTCTGCAGGGCAGCCTGGACCAGCTCTTGGCCAAACTGAGAGCTGTTAAGCCTCACTGGGATGGGGCCGTGCTGAGACTTCATGCCAAGCACAAGGAGCAGCTGCGCCAATTTGGCCTCAACCCTCTGGATCTTTGAGGCTGCCAGCCTCTACTCTCTGAGGCCCAGTAATAAAGTGTTTTAATGTTGAACCCAGCAGAGCTGTGGGCTGTGGTCTTTGGCAGAGAGGAGTTATCCCCATCCTCTGGGAACATCTCTACATCCTGAAGACTAAGAGGTGGGCTGGAGTTGTGGCTCAGCGGCAGAGCATTCACTTAGCATGTATGAGGCCCTGGGTTGAATCCTCTGCACTACAAAAAAAAAATAAATAAATAAGTAAACAAAATAAAGGTATTGTATACAACTAAAAAATAAATATTAAAAAAAAAGACTAAGAGGTAGGAGAGAAATTTGACAAGGTCTCAATCCCTCTCCTACAGAACCTGRGTTTCGCCCTTTAATGAAACTGGGGAGTCTGGAATAATCCCACTCAAGACGACCTCTTTAGTACCTTTGGAGACTGTTCAGGGATAGGGTCTAGGGCCCTTGTGGTCCCTTTAAATCACCTCCTTTTGTCCCCATCTATAGAAACACAGGCAGCCAGATTCATAGAGAAAGTACATTTCTATAATAAAACCCAACAGTTACCAGATATCAGCCCCCACAGTCTAAGGCATCCATGGAGGGAGGGTATAGCTGTTCTCCACATTCTTGTAGCGTATTACACTGGAGTCATACTAGGGCAAGTTCCAGATGGCTTCAATCCATCCCCACAACTAGCCCGACAGCATCCCCTTCTCAGGCAGAACTTCATCCTTGGGACACATCTCTGCAAAGCTCCCACCTGGCATCCTCTGGAGTCTAGGCTCCTTCAGGGCCCTCCCTGAGGTCTCTGACCACACCCTTTCCTGGGAGGTATGCCATGGGAAGGGAGGGAGTCCCTGGCCATTCCTGTGATCGATGGTGTCCTAGACCTCTAGTTCCCACTTCTGGATTAGAGAAACCATCTCTGCTCCCACCACTTCAGGCTGCAGAGAGAAGTCAGGAGAACCACTTGGCAGAACTACGGCAAGCAGGGGTGTCCTATAGCAGATCTGAGTTCAGAGTCCAGTCCTACAGAGATAGAAGAGGGAGAAGGTCATTCTAAGGCTAGAAGAGTTCCTTTACCCTCCCCCCAACCTGCCCTGGAATGCCCAGTTATGGGACTTTTTTCATGGATTCTTCTGTCCTCACCTCCCATGACCTGAAGTCCCCACCTGTACACCCCACACTGTCACCTAGTAATCCTCCCAATCTATGTTTCTCTCTGGCTCCTCTCTGCCCTTCTCTGGTGGTTCACACCTCCATATGTCTCTTTTCCTTACCTTTCTAATCCCTGGGGGAATCCAGGCTTCCAAGCTCTGTTGAGACCTGGCTGCCAGCTTTAGGCAGAGGGGTGGCTTGGCCTCGGCCAGCTGCTGAAGCTTTTGCAAGCCATCATTTCCATCCACAGGATACCCGTTCACCTCCAGAACCATATCTCCCATTTGCAGCCCTGCCCGGGCAGCTGAACCTCCTGGGGTCACCTGGTGGTATAAAGGGCAGATGGAACACAGAACATCATGGATATGTTTGCTATGTGTTCTAGGACTCTGGGAGGGAGACAGAGGAAGGCTGTTCAGGAGGTAAATAATAGAAAGGATCCAAGATCCACGGGGGCATCAGTCACCTGGGAGACAAAAAGACAAGGCCGACTGGCCACAAAGCTGAGTCGGAAACCATAGCCGCCACCAGGCCCAGGGTACAGGAAGCGCTTGCAGGAGCCGAGAGGACCAGGAGGTATGGTTGTGTTTTCATCTGGTAGGTCCTCGGTCTCAACCAGAAAAGCTGAGCCAGTGTCTTGGGGGGAGGCAGCAGCTTCTGTGCACTTCAAGAAGAGGAGTGGGGATAGGCGAACCTAGACCAGCMGACAGAGCAAACCTGTCTCACCCGAGCCCTGTTGTATTCCTGCCCCCTCCCTTGCCCCGTCCCTCAGCGCGCACCATGCTGAAGAAGCGGTCAGCCTCACGGTCGACGACAATGAGGGAAACACAAGAACCCTGCGCCCGGATCCTGGACACTGTCTCCTCATGGCCCAGCCCCTCCACGCTCTCCCCAGCCACAGCCACCAACCGGTCCCCAGCCTGCATCCCGGCCTTCTCAGCTGGTAGTCCTGGGTCCACCTCCCACAGGAACTGTCCTGGGACACAGACATCCTCACTGTTCCTCTTCCCCTCACCTCCAGGGTGCACACCCAGGGAATAACCCTCAGCCCCTCCCAGGTGCACTGAGAAGTGAGCAAGTGCACACTCCAAGGCACACCTTCCCCATCCACCTGCAAGCTCCTACTCACCAAGGCGACCATTGAGGCCCTTCTCCTCCCGCAGAAGGAACCCAAAGCCCTGGGGCCCTTTCTCTAGGTGCAGACATCGAGGCTTGGCAGGCAGTGCCCAGCCTTCTGCCAGGGGTGCAGCTAGGGGCATTCCTAGCTGGCGACACTGTTCCTCCACTTCTGGCCCTGCCACCAGCAGGGTCACCTGCTCTCCACTCTGCAAAAGCTGTGGGGACCAAGCAGGGTGTCAGCATTACCCATTGGGTAGGGAGGGATGAGGTGGGCACCTCCTCACGGTACCCCCTCCCAAGGCACAGGAATGAGGCACTAAAAGGAGGGCCTGAAAGGAGGGATGGTAACAAACGCAGACCATCAGATTGGGAGGTTGGGTACATGGGGAGGAGCCTGCCACCTGTGATGGACCCAGCCAATGACTGGGGAGAGAGGGAAGTGGGCAGCCATACCTTCCTATTGAGTTGGTTGTGAGTAAACTTCTCCACACTGAGCCCATTCACCTCAAGCAGCCGAGCCCCTTGGGGCACCCCTGCCCGCTCCGCCGCTCCTCCCGCACTTAGCATCAACCAGAAAGGACCCTGAGCTCCTGGAAGAAAAAAACAAAAACAAAAAACCACCACAAGCTCCAGACTGCTACTTACCCAGAACAAGGACTGATTACCCCGCCTCCCCGCTCTCCCAGACTCTAAGCTCACCATGGGTGACACTGAAGCCAAAGCCACCTTCATCTTTTACTATGTGGCACAGCCGAGGCCGGACCCCTGAGTCTAGAACAGGACAGAGGTGGCCACTGTTCCCTTGCTGAACTCGGGCCACTTCATAAACATGCCTTGCCAAGACTGTCAGCAGAACCCGGGGACCACTGGCCCGGATGTGGCGCACCACCTAAATAGAGAGCACATCAGGATAAGGGCGATGGCCCCTCTTGCCAACTCCCAGGGCCTCCTGGGGACCTGTGTTATTCACCAGGGGAACCAGCTCTCTAGATGCATCCACCCTTCCTACCTGGGCACCCCTAAATCATAGGGTGTAGGTAGATTTATGGCCCTGTTGCTATAGTGCCCAGGGAGGAGGCTCACTGGCTTTTCCCCCTGAGATGCTGTGGAATGCTCTCCTTTACCACTGGGAGCCCCAGCCCAGCCTCACCACCACATAGTCCTCATGTTCCACGACATCACTGTTCACCGCCAAGATCAGGTCTCCTTCCYGGAGACCCTGGCGCTGGGCAGAGGAGCCAGGCTCCACCCTGCACACCACATGCCCAGGCCTGCCCAACTGGGGCTGCAGGTGGAAACCAAAACTCCTGCCCTCCTCTTTGCTCAGCAAACAGAAGCGAGGCCTCTTCAGGTTCCATGGATCTGGAGGGGAAGATGGACAGCAGAAAAGAGACAGGGAAGGGGAGCACAGCCCAAGTGCCTGATTGACCTGACAGCCCCGCCTCCTGCCAGGGCACTGGGCAGATGTCTACCCAGAGAGAGGTGCAGCACTGTGGCTGAACACCAAGTGGGCAGAGTGGCTGAGACAGAGGAAGCACTGACCCCCTCCTACCTCCACATAGTTACTGATATTAGAAGGAGGCAGAGTGGTTACCAAGGAGATGGGAGGCTGAATGGAGCTGTGGTATCTCCAGGGAAAGGCAATGGTTGCCAAGGGGTGAGGGAGTTACCAGAGCAGTCATGGTCTTCGGCCAGGGAGAGAACAGGATTGTCAATGCCCAGCTTCGGGTTAAATTTGAACTTTCTGCAAGGAGGCAGGGGAAGTGGTAGGAGAAGCTGGCAGCTGGACTTGAGTCCCAGGCTCAGGAGCTAATGGCATCTGAAGAGCTGCCCCACCTTCAGGTCATCCCTCCCCTTACCCAACCCTCAAGCCACTTACAGAGTTAAGGAGGCTGTGTCCTGAAGATCTACTGGACAAAGAAGTGGGTAAGAGGAGAGGCACATTCCTGCCCCCAGATGCCTCTGAAGCCAGATTTAAGATAGGTAGTTAGTGTAGCTAGGTAGCTAGGGAATGAGTCTGATAAAGAAAATGGAGCCCATAAAGAAAATGGAGTGCAATCTGAGCCCGTGGGGTCAGAACTACACCAGGGAGATTGAAATGTTAATGTCCCCAAGGCCCCAGGCCATCCTAAAGAATTGTTAGTGAAGCAGCTCCCAGCAAATAGGGAGGTGCTAATCAAATCACCCTAGGACCTTCCAGCCCAGATCACTCCTCCCCCACCCCATTGGCCCACCAGTTTTTCACCTTTTCACCTTCCCACCAGCATCCCCTCCCCCACAATCACAAGAAGGAAAGAGGAAAATAAGCCAGATAAAGGACAGGAATGTAGGGGGATAAAAGAAGACCTTAGATATAAAAGGGATAGGACCTCCCCATCCCATGGATTCCGCCTTTCTATCCCCTCTTCCTGGAGTGGGGTGGGGAGGGATGATACTTAAGCTTTTCTGGAAGCAAGGACTCAGCAGGGTAACCAGCTATATCACCTCTTCCACATTCATAAACTGAAAGGACTTAGGGAAACACCCAAACTCAGAGCTAGTGCTCTGCTCTGCTCCCAAAGTTTCACCTTCTTACTAAAGTCACACTTAAAGGGATGTCGTATATCCCTCTCCTTTTCCCTCCCCCCAAGTCTGTGACACATAAATCTGAGCATATCAGTACAGGGTGTGGACCAGGAAGACAAACATATCAACTCACCTCTTTCTTCTTCTTGACTTCTGTTTGCCTCAGGGCTGCAAGCCCCAATATCAAGTGTGCCCCAGTCCCATAGCCTCCAAATCAGGCCTCTCACTGCCCCCAAAGTCCCATCCCGCTATATCTCCCAGCCTCCTACCTGCAGCTGCCTCCATAGTTAGATCAGCAACCAGTGTTCAAGAGTAGGGACAAGGTCCATCGTAACCAGCTGATCCTCCCACCTGCCCCCTCCCAAGTCCCGCCTCCTTGAAGACGCTGTTATGGAAGCAATGGGGTAATGGTTAACGGAGATGAGACTCTTATCCTCTGGGAAGTGTTTGTTTCTCTTGCACCCATTCCTGGGCTTTAACTTTCTTTCTTTCTTTTTTCTTTTGGTCCTGGGCATTGAACCCAATGGTGCTACATCCCCAGTCTTTTAAATTTTTTTGAGACAGGGTCTCACCTAAGTTGCTGAGGCTGGCCTAGAATGTGGGATCCTTCAGACTCAGCCTCTATGACTCAGCCTCTGGAGTCTCTGGGCTTCAACTTTCTCCAGAGATCCTACAGCTGACCCAGTTGCTCCTCTGGACAGAGAAAGGTAGACTGCTGGTCACTGTGACCCCATGCCTGGGGGAAGGGTATGAAAAGGGTGATAGCAGTTTTATGGCCCAGCCTGGCCAATATCTTCTACATAGGTCCCTCCAGCCACTGCTGGCCTCAGAACCTAGAGTTGTGTCTCCTGCACCAGGTAGGTCATGTTCAGCTCCTACAACTGCAGCCCCTCATTCCCAAGGCCCCTGCATAGCAGGGACACAGTGTGAGTGAAGTATTTCCTGCTGGCCCCTCCAAAAACAAGGAGACACCTGCTGCCATCAGTGGGTTGTTAAAAGTGGCCTGTACAAAGTGGTCAGTAGTTTACCCAGAATGGCCAGGAAGAGTGCCCTTTCTTGGGAGCATCAGGTAAGGAAGAGAAGGCCACAATAGGTAGAAGACATGAGGCTTTTTAATAGCAGCAAGTTGGGTACACCTGGCCCTTGGGCCACCAAGCCATGGAACCAGTGTGATACAGAAGCATGTGTGTGAGGGAAAGCACCAACGTGAGGGCGTCCTCAGTGTCACAGTAAGCACAGGCAGGAGGAGAGGCCCTCCAGCACATCTCCTGAATGGCAACACCCCCAGCAGGGCAGGTTTAAGAAGTGAACCCTTTGGTGGTACAATCAGAGGCTCTCTGAGCAGAGAGAGAATCAAAATTGGTGGTGATGCCACAGGGCAATCTGGTCACCCAAATGCCACATCCTCAGTTCTTCTAGCCAAAGGGAGAGGAGACACACTCGATTTTTAAGACCGTGGTATCAATGGACCGTATTTGACCCTGGAAATCTAGACTTAGTTGGATATGTCCTGGGGTGGTGGCACCCCATGTAGCTGTGCCCATTGCTTTGTCACCAGCCTTGAAGGGATCATTCTAGAAGGAGTAGTACAAGCCGGGAGGTCATAGAGGAAGGGTTTTGGAGCCAGTGATCCCACAGCCGGGTCTCAGCTGCCACTGTCTCAGCTTCCAGGGCCTTTTAGCTGCTCCAGGAGGGCCCTGAACTCGCCCTCCACTCGCAGCAGCTGAGCCTTGCGCCACGGATTAAGGGTGGCACCTCGGCTGTCCTCGAGGTCCCGCAGCAGAAGCTCAAGGTGGCGCCGAACCCGGGCCGGATCCCAGCTGTTGAGGTTCCGCTGGACTTCACTGAGAATCACTGACCAGTACTCCGACACTGCTGTCCCCTCTGTCAGCGATGCCACAACCCGGGCCTTGCCTTCAGCAGTGCCTCCCAGGTCCCGAAGAACCTGGCGGCCCTCTGAGCTGAGTTCATTGAAGTAGAGACTAGCAGGAAAGAGAAGGGTAGACGTTCATCAGGGGTGTGGAAAGGAGGGCCCGGGGTGGATGGACAGTCAGGAGCCCCACAGCTCCTCCCCTACTGCCAGACATGATGGGGTAGGGGTCTGCAGCAAACTAGAGGAGGAGGGTGGTGGCCAATGGGAGGCAGGATTGACGTAAGAATTCAGCAGGACCAGTGACAACAGACCCCTAAGAGAAACGGTGGTAGGGAACAGGGGCAAGGTGAAAGCCAGTCACAAAGTGGGTGAACCAGCTCAGAACTGGGTTAACAAGGATCAGTCAGATTCCAGAAAGAAAGGACAGACACCAGGCCCAGAGCACTCCCTGAGGTAGGAAGAGCACAGTAGAGAGAGGAGACCAAGCGGCCAGGGACCTATGGGACCACGGGCAGGACTCACTGCAATAGCTCCAGTGAAGGGTGCTCCCAGGCAGCCTTGGCCAGGGCCAGGGCTGCTGTGTCACCAGCACCATTGTAGGCCACATTCAGCTCCTGCAGCTGCTGATTGCGATCCAGCTGGGCAGCCAGCAGCTCTAGCCCCTCATCCCCAAGGCCCGTGTGCAGCAGGGACAGGTGTGTCAGCGAGGTGTTTCCTACCAGGCCCTCCATCAGCAGGCTAACACCAGCTGCAGTCAGTGGATTGTTGGACAACCTAGGGCCACAAGCAACCTAAGGTTATAAGGACCCATTGCAAATGCCCTGTGCTGGGCTTTAAGACTTGGGCCTTAAAAGGGCACAACCTGGGGTGGAGACAAAACTGAATAAGAAAGTGTCGGCCCAGGAGAAGGAGACAGATAAACCCAGTTATAGTCCCTGCAGAGAAGGAAGAGTGGGGAAAGCTGGCTTCTCCTTTCCTCTCTCCATCCTTTCCATCTCCTATTCTCCATCATCCCTCCTTCCCACTCCCTCCCTCTTCTTCACAGTACTATTTCCCTTCTTCCCCCTTTCCCATCCTCTTCCCAGTCCCTGTTCTTCTTTCCCCTCTAGTCACACCATCCTTCTGTCCTTCCTTTCTCCTCCCTCCTTCACCTCCCCTTACTCCATCCAGAAATTGGAAAACCAGACATCTGGGGTCCTAGAAAATCAACCAACACCTTGAGAGCAGCTAGTGAGACTGCCCGGCATTACAGTCAGCCTTGTGGGGGAAAATACTGGGAGGGAATCCGTGACTCTGTCACCAGGCAACCAGCCTAGGTATTAGAGCAGCCTCCCTGTCCCCCGAGCTGACATTAGCCACCAGAGAGGCTTTCTTAGCACCTAGAACTCATGGCATCCTTCCCTTTGTCCTGTGGTTTATAATGGACCGGACTGGGGGTGGAGGGACAGATCAGGGCCTCAGCTCTCACCCCCTTTACTACAGCATGGGTGGGCCTGCGCCAGGTAAGTTGTAAGGCAGGGAGCTCGCCCTTGACCTGAGCTGGCCACCCACAATAGCCAGAGCCTCCCTCCAGCCCCTCTCCCAGGGCACTCACCTTAGGGTGGTAATTTGGCACTGGTCATGCAGTAGCAGATCTCGGAGGTCCCTGCAGGCCTCGGGGCCCAGGCTGTTGAGCTGCAAGCTGGAGCAGAAGGTGGCCAGAGGGGAGGTGAGAGGCCAAGAAGGGAGATCAGATGGAACGTTTCCATCTCCCGTGCCCCTTCCTCACCAGCCTGCCTCGTGCCATCCATACCTGCCCTTACTTCTTTTGTTGTTCCTATCCCTCCAACCACATCAGACTTCACCATCCCACCCTGCTACGGTCTGGGTAGTTTTTCCCCCAAGGGTTCATGAGTTGGAGGCTTGATCCTCAATATGAGGTGCTCAGGGGAGCAGAACCTTTGAGAGATGAGGCTTGGTATGAGGTTATTAGGTCATTGGGGTGCTCCTGGAGGGGATGAATGTTGGACTCAGAGAGTCAGTCCTCATGAGAGTGGGTTGTTGTAAAACAAGGCCACTCTATGCTCTCAGCCTCCTTTGCATACAGCTGTTTCCTTTTCAGCTCTTTTGCCGTGTTGCAAGGGCCAAAGAGGCTCTCATCAGAAGCTAAACCAAACCAGGTACCCAATCTTGGACTTTCAACCTCCAAAACTATGAGATGAGTAAATCTCTTTTCTTTATAAAGTACCCAGCCTCAAGTATTTTGTTATAGCAAGAGAAAGCAGACTTTCAGACTTTCTGGTCCTTCCTCAGTACCTGAGTACCTGTTTCCCTGGCAATTTCTCTTCCCCTCTTAAACTCCAATCCTCTCTTCATGCCTACACATGAGGATGGGTCCTTACCCCAACTTCCGAGCACGTAGAAAGACAGGCATGAGAGTGCGCAGGCCAGCAGGATCCAGCTGGCAGGAAGCTAAATTCACCTCATCCAGGGCATGTCTTCCACTGCCCAGTACAGCTGCCACCACTGTGCACTTAAGAGGTGTCATACGTACACCTGCTAAGTTGAGCTGGCGCAGGGAGCTGAGCACTTCAGCAGAGAAGCGCTGGTTCTGGAACTCATAGTGGAAGAAGAGGTGGTCAAGAAGCTCCGACGGGGGCAGCACCTGCCGGCCCAGTTTCCCCAGCTTCTTCTTGATGGCCTGGGCATTCTCCAAGGCATCCAGGTTCTTGATGGGGCAGCCAAGCTGAGCCAACACAGCACGGTTGTGGGCAGARAGAAGGCCCCCCATGAATATGGGGAAGAGCTCAAAGACTTCATCCTCAGGGGGCTCATCGGGGTGGCGCCGGGGGCCCTCCACACCCAGGATACTGGCACCCATCTGGTCTAGAACGTCATCATTGTAGTAGTCCTCCTCTCGGAACATCTCTAGTACCATGGCCTGGGCCACTGCCTCCCGGCTTTTATCTACCATGCGCCCAAACACTCGTGGAACCACCTGGAAAAGAAGCAGGGGATGTTGCAGTGGCCTCCCATGAGTCTGTTCAGTCTTCAAGGTTCAGCTTAAGGTGCACCCAGACTGCTCCAGCCTCATGATCTCCCTGGAGGGAGCAGCACAATTTGTCTGATCACACTACCCCTTGCTACAGTACTCTCCAGGCTCCCTACTGCCTGCGTGGCAAACTCCAAGCATTTAGCGTGGAACATGAAACATTTCATAATCTGGCCTGTCTGACTTTTCCAGGGTCATCTCTCAAACATTTGTCTCAYACACTCCAGACATTAAGAACTTTTTAATTTTTTCCAAGCACCCATCCATTTTCTAATTGTGAAAAGGAATGAGCATATACAGTTGTCCCTCAGTCTCCACAGGGGATGGGTTCGTGAACCCCTGTGGATACCCAAAACCCATGGACATTCAAGTTCCACATATAAAATGACACAGCATTTGCATATAGCCTACTTACATCC